TATGCCACGAAGAATTGAGGCAGTTCTGAAGGCAAAAGGGGGTCCAACCCGTTACTAGCGTGGTGTACCTAATAAAGTGGCCGATGAGTGTATATTACAGTATCAAATTATCAATTATTTATGGCAGGCCATTGTGTACTATAATAAAAAACATGGCAAGCTGTTGTATTGTGTTAAAAATGTACAATTTTCTTTTCAGTTTCAAATCATTTGTTTTTAGTTTCAAAAAACATTTTTCGTAACGAACTTTATGGCCTCAATTTAGCTCCGTAGATTTTAAGACCTTGGATCCACAGCGTTGTTAGTTCAGAGATGTAAAAATTAATGGAAACGTTTTTTAAATTTAAATATTTGATAATTTCTTGTTCAAAATAATATTGTTAGCAAAACATCTCATGAACCAATAGGTGGGCTTTTGGAGTAACCACAGCAAATCTTTAAATACAAGAGTGGCACCAAAAACTGTCAGTTGTACACTCAAACTTTTGTGTGGTATTAGCTGAGAATCATACCCTCTGAGGCTTCATTCAGACAATCTGACCGAACTRCTCTTGTTTTTGTAGCCATGGCGTCCATTCAGCTTTGGTTTGGTGGAGTTGTGGTATTTACCTTATTGGCCCCATCCATCATGGCATTCTCTCAAGGGGCAAGTCCCGCCTCCTGCAAGGAGATGGTTCCTGGACATATCCGGGCTCAYCCTCTGGACCCGGAGCACAGCCACATCACTGTTCAGATGTCCGCCTCTTCCTACCTGCCTGGTCAGCTGATAACAGGTCAGTCAGAGAAAAACGGTTAGCTGGTTACAAGTCTCAGAGGTTAACTAGCTAGTACAAGTTTTGGTGGTTAACGAGTTTCATTTGTTAACTAGCTGGTTACAAGTTTCAGAGTTTAACTAGCTGATAACAAGTTTCAGTAATTAACTAGCTAGTACAAGTTTTGGTGGTTAACAAGTTTCATTTGTTAACTAGCTGGTTACAAGTTTCAGTAATTAACTGGCTGGTTACAAATGTTGGTGGTTAACTAGCTGGTTACAAATCTCACTGGTTAACTAACTGGTGAAAAGTCTAGGTGTTTATCTAGTTGTTTACAAGTCTAAGTAGTTAACTAGCTGGTTACTAGGCTCAGTGGTTTATTAGCTGGCTACAAGTTTTAGTGTTTAACTAACTGGCTATAAGTTTCAGTAGAGGTTAATTAGCTGATTTTAAGTTTTGGTGATTACCTATCTGGTTAAATATTTCAGTTGTTAACTAGCTGGTGACAAGTCTCAGTGGTTATTAAGCTGGTTTCAAGGCTCAGTGGTTAACTAGCTGTTTACAAGTCTAAGTGGTTAACTAGGTGGTTACAAGGCTCAGTGCTTAACTAGCTGTTTACAAGTCTAAGTGGTTAACTAGCTGGCTATGAGTTTCAGTGGAGATTTATTAGATGGTTATAAGTTTCTGTGATTAACTATCTGTTTATATGTTTTAGTGGTTAACTAGCTGGCTGTAAGTTTAAGAAGTGATTAACTAGCTGGTGTGGCATAGTGGCTCAGTGGGTAGAGCTGATGCCTCTCAGCAAGAAGGTCRCCGGTTCAAATCCCGGCCCGGGGACCTTTCTGAGTAGAGTTTGCATGTTCTGTCTGTGCATGTGTGGGTTTTCTCCAGGCACTCCAGCTTCCTCCCACACACCAAAAGCATGACTGTTAGGTTAACTGATAACTCTAAATTGTCCCTAGGTGTGAGAGAGTGAATGGTTGTTTGTCTCATTTGTCTCCATGTGTGCCTCTGTGATGGACTTGTGACGTGTCCAGGGTGTACCCTGCCCCTCGCACTGTGACTGCTGGATATGGGCACCAGTGACCCCTGCGACCCTGAAAGGAAGAAGTGTGTACAGGAAATGGATGGATGAAAAATATTTAACTTACCAGTTATCTCCATTCTTTCTCACTTCCAGTTACAATTCGAAGTTCTCGGGACTTCATGGGTTTCCTGCTCCAGGCTCGCAACCTCAGCGGTGTCAAACGGCGTCAGTATGGCAGAGGTGCTAGGATCAGGTTCAGGAGTCTCGGTGCCCTGATGGCAGGGGGCTCCTGGATCTTGACCCCACCAGGGACCCACACCCTGCACTGTCTGTCCGAGGGCGACACCATCACCCACTCCGACAAACAACTGAAGAGGAACCTGTCGTTTGTGTGGAGAGCTCCTGATGTTCCGATGGGTGACATCCGGTTTATGTAGGACCAACATTTATTTAAAGTGGCGGTTCTGTGTAAAGACCATGAACAGTTAATATCTTACCTGTTGGAGCTTCAAAAGCCATGGTGGCCATCTTAAATTAATATACTGTACAAGTGGTTTTAAAGTGTATCTTACCCCCCTGTGAAAAGATAACTCCGCCCCAAGGCGAAATTTGAAAAATGCATCAAAGTGGGTAGGGGAGGGGGTGTTAGAGAGCGGAGGTGTGGCCAGGACGAGAGAACGTGACAGGCAGCTAGCATTAGCATAATTGATGCTACATGGAGAGTGACCACAGTATCGCAGATAGTTACATCCATAGAAATGAATACGTAGAAGCCTCGTTGACTGTGTCGGTC